CTATGAGGACAATGATAAGAATTACTTCAGGAGATGTTGTGAGGAATAATAATAATAATAATAATAATAATAATAATAATAATAATAATAATAATAAATATATCCCATCATTGAGGAGAGAGCCTGACACATAGTTAGAGCTCAACAAAACTTAGTTTCCCCCTCCATCCATGCTATGGAGCCCATTCTGCCTCTTGAAAACTACACCCCAGTGATGATTTTCCCTTTCTCTGCATCTTCAACATTTTCTTCCTGAGAAGATCCTTCTCTCTCCAGTATAAAATATGCTCAGGTCTTCCCCCATCTAAAACAAAACAATACAAAACAAAAAAACTCTCCTGGACCCTTTACCTTCATTAGCCTGGGTTTATTATAAACCTGAGAGCCTGATACAAAAATTCAAGTACTGATGATTCAAGCCTGATACAAAAATTCAAGTACTGATAATTTGAGAAGAAAAATTAGTGAGGCAAGTTAATACGTAAAGCAACATAAAATGAGATGCGACTAGCCACCCCTTCATTATAAGCTCTAAAGTGTATATATAGCAGATTGCTCAGCAGATATGACTGACACTTGCACTTGCACTTGCACTATCTCTGGACAGGCGACAAGAAGAAAACGTGTCCCTAATAGTCCAGGGGATAAAGAAAAGTGAGGGAACTGATTTGCCTAAGTCCCTTCTAGCTCTTATTTTCAACTGGGCAATGTGTGGCCCTCTAGGGGTTAACTTCTCTGTTCTTTTGAGTCTTGGCAGTCCGGTACTCTTGGATGCCAGAGTCCACACTGGGCTCTATTAGTGTGGTTAGAATTCATCCAAGTTCAGAAGTGATAGGAGAAGCCAGAAAATCCAGTGGTGCAACGGGTCAGCCTGGCTACATAGAGAAGCCATGAGGAAGAGCCTAGTGCTCCCAGGACAAGTGACTGATCAAACCCAGATGAGGAACCTGTGTTGGTCAAACAGAGTTGGTTAGCCTCCACTGAGGCCAAGGATCTGAGAGGCAGGCAGTGACAAAGGAACATGAGTCACAGTATTTATGGCTGATACAGCCTTATAGCTTCTCAAATTGATTCCTGCCTCTTCAACTCTTTACAAACTTTTGAAATGGTTGTCTGTATACTGAGTCTCTTCTTTACATCCTGTTAACCCTGAAATGTGGTTTTCAAACTAACCCTAACTTTATATTCAGCTGGCCCCCAGTATAGCCATGAGTGACTTCCATGGTCCTAAACCCAAATAATATTTATCAATTCTCATCTCATTTGACTTTTCAGAGACATTTTGGTGACTATGTATTTGTGTTCTTTTCAGATTTTTTCTTGTGGTTGATTTCTAGTTTCATAGCATTGTGGTTAGAAAAGATGTATGGTATGACTTCAGTCTTTGTGAATTTGTTGAGACCTGTTTTGTGGCCTAATTGTACATGGTGTGTTTAAGTTCCCTAGTGTTATTGTATTACTATCAATTACTTCCTTTATGTTTGTTATTAGTTGCTTTTTGCATTTCGGTGCTCCCATGTTGGCTACATAAATATTTACAATTGTTATGTACTCTTGTTGGATTGTCCCCTTTGTTATTCTGTAGGGTCCTTCTTTGTATCTTGTTACTGTCTTTCTTTTAAAGTCTATTTTGTTAGATAGAAATATTGCTTTCTTTTCACTTTTATTTGCATAATAAATGCTTTTCCATCTCTTCCTGGTCAATCTGCATGTGTCTTTAAATTTGAAATGAATTTCTTGTAGGCAGCTTATAAATGGGTCTTGTTTTTTAATTCATTCTATCACTCTATGTCTTTTGATTGGTGTGTTTATTCCATTAACATTCAAAGTATTTATTGATAGGTATGGACTTATTGCCATTTTGTTACTTGTTTTGTGATTGTTTTTGTAGTTCTTCTCTGTTCCTTTCTTCTCTCGCTCTCTTCTCTTACTGTTTGCTGGCTTTAATGATATACTTGGATTCCTTTCTTATTTTTTGAATATCTGACCAGTTTTTGATTTGTGGTTATTGTTAGATTTATATATAGCATCTTAAGCATATAGCAGTCTATATGAAGTTGATGATAAATTAAGTTTCAACCCATTCTGAAAGCACTAACTTTTTACTCCTCCCCACTGCCTATATGGTACCATAGTTTACATCCTTTTTATCTTATGAATCCCTTGACTGGTTTTTATAGATATACTTAAGTTTTATTGCTTGTAGGCTTCTCACTTTTCTTACTCCTGTTTATGATCTTTAATGTTTCTTGTAGGTCTGGGTCTAGTGATCATAAATTCCTTAAATTTTTGTTTGTCAGAGAAACTTTTCATCTCTCCTTCTTCTGAATGATAGCCTTGCTGGGTAGAGTATTCTTGGTTGTAGGTTTTTTTTTGAGGGGGGAGGTTGTTTTTGCTTTTTTTTCCTTTAGCCCTTTGAATATATCATTCCATTCCCTCCGGCCTGCAAAATTTCTGCTGAAAAATCAGATAATAAACTTATGGGGTTTCCCTTGTATGTCACTGTTTTCTTTTCTCTTGATGTGTTTAAAATTCTCTATCATTACTTTTTACCATTTTAATTACTATGTGTCTTGGTGTGGACCTACTCAGTTTGATTTTGTTAGGGGATCTCTGTGCCTCCTGGATCTGGATATCTGTTTCCTTCCTCAGCTTCACAGAAGTTTTCAGCTGTCATTTCTTCAAATAAATTTTTCTGTCCCCACTTCTCCCTTTTCTCCTTCTGGGATCCCTATAATGTGAATGTTATTACGCTTGATTGTGTCGCTGAGTTCCCTAAGTCTATTTTCATTTTTTAATTATTCTTTTTTCTCTCTCTTGTTCAGCTTGATTGCTTTCCATTACTCTATCCTTACAGGTGACTGATCTGTTCTCCTGCTTCCTGTAGTCTACTATTTATTCCCTCTAGATTATTTTTAATTTCATTATTGAGATCTTCATCTCTGATTGTTTCTTATGTTTTCTGTCTCTTCATTGAGGGTCTCAGTGAGGTCCTCCACTCTTTTCTCCAGTTCAGTGAATATCTTTATGACCATTACTTTAAATTCTCTATCAAGTCTATTACTAATCTCTGTTTCATTATTTTCTCTTGCTTTGATTTTGTCCTGTTCTTTCATTTGGGACATATTCCTCTGTCTCCTCACTTTGCCTTTCTTTGTCTGTTTCTACGTGCAGGAAAGTCAGCTACATCTCCTGCTCTTGAAAGTAGTGGCCTTAGAAAGAGGAGGTTCTGTGCTGTCCTGCAGTGCAGTGTCCCCTGTTCACCAGATCCTGGCATTTCCTAGGTGTCTCTTACGTGTGTTGTGTGCACCTTATTGTGACTGAGCTGCATTTGCCTTTAGGCCAGTCATCTGCAATGGCTCTCCTTGCCTGTTGTGGGCAGGGTTTTGTCCCTGTGTTGTTAGTGGGCCAGTCTGTGGCTGCCTTGGGCTTGAGTTGAATCAGACCAGGCATTTGCTAGAGCTGCAGTAGTACCAAACTGCAGGGTGCTTTCCCTATGTTGTCCCCTGAGAAGCTTTCCTTGGTAGGGGGGGTCTGCAAGTCAGACCAGATATCTGCCCCCCAGCCCGCTGCTGTGGCCCCAGTCGAACTGGTGTGTGGAGTTATTTTCCCCTCTCCCCAGGCAGGAGTCACTTTGGAGTGGTGTTGACCCCTATGGGGGGCACTTGCATACTGTCACATTTGTGGTATCACTTAGATGGACTTCTGCAGAGGGTGTAGGAAGGGACCTGCAGCTGCCTGGGAAAACTCCTGCTGAGGCCAGGATGGAGAGGACTTGTCTGAAGAAGAGCATGGGGGTAGGGGTGCTATTAACAAGCTAGATGGAGAGTGTTTGAGCTATACTGATTTCTGCTGCACTGGTTCCCACAAGTGTCCATGTATCTAGCCTGGGGGTGAGGGAGGGAAATAGTGCTTACCAACTCCTTTGTTTCTGGAGAAGTCTCCTAAAGATTCCTGCTCCTCTAGCACACACTCTGAGATTAGTAAATAAATCTTCCTGTATACTCCAGGCATTTTTTAAACTACTGTTTCCATGCTATAACTCAGCAGGGCTGCTTGTTATGCTGTCCCTTTAAGGGCATGGACTCAGTTTCTTCTCACCTCCCAGCTCTCCCAGATCCATGCCTGCTGATTTTTAAAGTTTCAGGCTTTAAGCCCCACTCATTGTAAGAACTTGCAAAGTTAGGCCCTTCTGGTATTCAAAGCCAAATATTATGGAGATTCATCTTCCCATAATGGGTTCCTCATGCTTGGGGTGCCTGGTGTGGGGTCTGTTCCTCTCCCCTTTCTATGCCAGTGTCCCTCCCTCTTGCAGACAGTCCTGAGGGTCCATTTAGCTCCTGACCCAACTGTGTTTCTACCCTTCCTATTCCCTTTGATTCAGCCTCTTCTCTACATTTACCTGTAGAGAGTTTTTCCTGCCATTCTTCAGGTCACTTTCTGGGTTATTTATACTGATGTGGGTGACACCTAGGTGTATCTGTGGGATAAGGTGAGCCTAGGATACTCCTTCTGTGTCATCTTCCCTGGAAGTCTAGAATTGAGTTAATTTGCAGTATATTTCCATTGCATAATTTACATTTCTCTTATAATTCTCATCACAACTCTAAGTGATCATTTTAAAAGTTAAATATTTATAATTATGTTTCTATATTTTTAATTAACTATTACAGACTGAATTGTGTCCCCACAAAATTCATATGTGGAAGCCCTAAGCTCCAATGTGATGGTATTTGGAGATGGGGCTTTTGGAAGGTAATTAGGTTTAGATGAGGTGATGAAGTTGGGCCCTCATGATGAAATTAGTGCCCTTAGAAAAAGATACATCAGAGGGCTCACTCTTTCTGCCCCATCATGTGAGGACGCAATGAGAAGGAGGCCCTCTGCAAGCCAGGAAGAGGGTCCTCACTGGGAACCAAATCAACCAACACTTGGATCTTGGACTGCACATATACGTATACTTTCTTTTTGTTATATTAATCTGGTAAATACAGGCAACTTGATAAATTTTATTTCTCATGATTCCTATCAAAAAAAATTACCTTGCACTTATACTTGAATACATGTATCTAATAAGTGTTTTCCTTACAGAAGAGAACAAAGGGAACCACATTTGAATATATAATCTGATGATTAAAAGCAGTATCCACAAACTGGCATCCAACTCTCTACATTTCAAACATTGTTTGGCTTCCACAATCCACAGAGTTTTAGTACAAAGAGCCATAAACACATTCAAATTATAGTCAGACAATAGACCTTGCCCATTCATACACAACATGAGACCAATAAATGCAGTGACAGCAAAGACATTCTTAAAAGCCACTAGTACACTGAACAGACCGCCATAACTTCATGGTACATAGAAATGACTGTAAGCCAGAAAAAATATATACCACCAAATCTTAACTAAATTCCCAACTCAAATTCTCCTTATCATCTATATCCCCATAGTATCCATTCCAATAATATCCAGAAGGGGAGGAAAGGAGACAATGGACAGAAAGACAATAGTCTAAACTGATTACAGTTAAAACATCTTCCATCTGCAAATTTTACAGCAAAAACATATAACTACATTAAAGCATTCATAGGTCCCACCCAGATGACCTTGAAATTAACTTATGCAAGTAAAACTCTCTGAAGCACAAATTCCATTAGCTTTATGATAAATCTGCTTCTGCCCCCAGATCTGTGTCTGGTGGAAGTCTCATCCATCAGTCTGTTTTTCTTGCAGAATAAAGACTAGGGGAGAATGGTAGGGGGAAAGGAAATCTGGTCTCCTGCAGAATAGAGGCTCTGCATGGTCTTTTAAAGGGCCATTAGCCCAGAGCCTCATATTTTATCTTCTAAATCTCTTGTCTCCTGAAACATCGAGGTGAAAGTGAATGTAAGTTTGATGTCGCACATGCTTCTATTTTTCATATTTTCTTCATGAAGAAAATCAACAAAAGGGACAAGCTCTACTATTTCTTTTTTGGAGGTTAAGTTTGTCTTCTGTGCACAAAATGACAGCCACCATAATAAGCACATGTCTAAAAAATAGAAAACACAAAATTTCAGTAGGCTTTGAGTTCTCATATCTCCGATGATATCTTCCTAATATAGTCCTTGCGCCTCAAGGGTCTCAGATCATTGTAATAATCAAGCAAATAACTTCCTTCTGTAAGACAACTACTCATCTCAGCCTCAGGTCTACCTATGAACAAATTTCCCCAAACACATATTTTACTATAATGCAAGTCTGAGCTTAGTGAAATGTTTGAGTCTGTAGTGAATGGGGCTTTATTTTCTCTATCACATAAAATCACTAAGTCAGCATTTAAGTAAATGGAAGCATTCCCTTTTGCTTCAGTCCTCAACAACATTCCTATACTTACTAATGAGCTATAGAGGACATATGTAGGGCAAGGCTGCATCCTGAGTATTGATGGACTCCCTTATTTTGGAGCTGATCCAGAATGTCTGATACGGGAACACTTAGTAAACCCTGGAGAAAACAAATAAACAAAAATGAACACACACACAAAAATACAGCTGTGTTTCCAAAACTTTAGCATGCAAAAGAATTACATATGTGAGCCTCTCAATAATACAATTTTTAGGGTCTTAACTTTAGAGATTTTGACTATCTAGTCCAGACAAAATGTATGCTCTTTCTTTTTTAACAAGCACTCCTGGTGATTTTTATGCTTACAGTGCACCACCACACTTAGAGAAGCATTGTGCTACAGAATTTCCAAGCTCAGGTTGACAAACCAGGACTCTTGATGGCTATTACTTGGGTCAACACCAAATTGGGTTAAAGCCAAGAGCTAACTCTCATATATAAGCATTGTATTTGCTCTTTTTTTGTCTTTCCACATCTAAAACTTCTTTCTTGTTTTTGTTTTCTTCTGCTATATTTTTGGTCTTGTAATCCATTTAAACATTTTAAAATACTGAATTAAGAGATTTTTCAGAAGTTAACATTGGGAATTGGGATAAGCAATTGGTGTGGATAAATCTTGCTATTTTCAATGATTGTGAGCTACCTTTCTAAATCACTCACAACTTTCCCCTTTTCTTGATTTCTCAATAAACTATAAATGTCTTCCAAAAATTACACTCAAGAGAAAGCAGATCATCAGGACAGCAAGTGAGACAAAGTAGCCATTAAGATCAATTGTGCCTAGCCTGCTGTGAAATTTGGCATAAATTATTTTATTTATTTTTTGACATAAATTATTTTAAAAAATCAAATCAGTTTTGGAAATTCAGAGCTACTCACTTCAAGACAAGTATTAGTTATAAAATTTCTAGGATCTTCTTATTTTGGAGTGCAGAAGAAGACTGCAAAGAAAAATTTCTGGATGAAGCACTTGATTGTAATGCAAGCGATGGTTATCCCTTACATTGGGCTATGATATTGTGAGAATGTTGTGTTTATTCTTTATGCTTCTCCACAACGTGCAGTGAAGTTCCACCAAAAGTGTTTTAGATGTTAACAAGAGTGCAAAACAAAAACCATCTTTCTTAAGAAATAAATGATTTTTAAAAATCAGAGTTTTAATGGAATGGTACTTAAAGAAACAAAATAACTACCATCAGAGTTTGTAAAAACAAGAAAGAAATTTTAAAGAAAAATGTGAACTTTTTCATTTAATTTCATTAAACCAAATTTCAATTAAATTCAAGGCTTAGTGAGCCATTCTTGAAGCTTAAAAAGTTATTTGAAGAAAATGGAAAAAAAAAAAGAAAGCAATATGTTTATAAAATACAGTGGATAATGAAATTTAGATTTTATTTCTTTATTTTTTTGTGTGACAGAAGCAACAACAACAATAAAAATAGAGATATTTTCCAGTGACAGGCAGGGCTTCACAGAGGCATGACTTGGTTGGGTCACAATGGATCAGCATCTGGTTTTTGGTTTCCTAGACCCAGAAATTCAAATTTGTCAGATTTGGAGAATGAAATTAAGCTAGTCATATCCAAAAGACACTGGTTGTATAGAAAACACAAATGCTAATTTATTAACTTAAATAGAACATAACTACTGCTAAATATCTGAAACACTTGTCTTATGGATCAGCATGTTTTGCTTTTTTCAAGGAGGAGACTTCTACTTGGGACAGCATGAAATAAAACATGGTATATAATTAAACAGATGAGACAGAATGACATTCTAATGGAATTACACCTTGGTCACCATGTCTCAAATTTGAGTGTTCACAAAATACACTTTGGCCAAATAGAAAGGAAAAAATCTGAAACCACTTGGAATATAACCATAACCTCAAAATTTGGAGGTATTTTATTCTTGTTCTATAAATCAAGATGCAAATATAATGAGATTCAGGCTGAGATTCATGAAGGATTATTCAAGGCAGTTTGGAATGTTTGGGATTTAAGGACTCAAAATCATAAAAACTAATTATATCTTCTCATAGGCTGGAGTCATTGCCACTTGAAAAGATCAAGCCAAGTTTAATTAGCTGTGAGTTTGACAATATAAATGGAATTTATATTTTAAATCAAAGGAGTAAACATTTGGTAGAAGTGAGCTTCTGAAATATTGTTGCTGCTTTTTAAAACTTCATTATACTGATGTTGAGAAGGCTTGACAAGAGTCAATTAGAAACACTTACAGAATCTTAAAGTAAGACTTTGGAATGAATGCCAAGAGTGAGGATCAGAAAATTCAGCTGCTTCCTTTTAAATAGTAGCAAACACACATTTAAAAAAAAATCTTTTTTAATAATGATCTAAATTAATAATTATTAACTGAGGATAGCCATCAGAATCACCAATATATGTATTTTTTATCATATGTATGCCTGGCCCCTACCTGGACTTCCTAAATAGAAATTTTACGGGTCAGGCTTAAATATATATGGGGTTTTATTTTATTTTATTTTTAAAGAGAGAGAGAGCACGAGTGGAAGAGGCAGAGGGAGAGGAGAGAGAATCTCAAGCAGACCCTGAGCTGAGCACACAGAGCCCAATATGGGGCTCAATCCCAGGACCATGAGATCATGACCGGAGCTGAAACCGAGAGTGGGATGCTCAACTGAACGGGCCACCCAGGCACCCCTTAAACATATATTTTTGAAAAGCCCCATAGAGTAATTTTGATATTAAGATTCATGGATAATTGTGGGCAAAACTGCCAATGCTGTAGAGTCAAACCAGTACAGGATATCAGAATCTAAAACCTCCTAAAGCAGGAAATTTGAATTCTATGGTTGGAAATGTGCTCAGATGCAGCACTCAGCTGCTTGTGAAAGCCATTACTATGTCATTTCCTCTGACCAAAGTCTGGATTTGGAAGGATGGGTTGAATTGGGTCCCAGCTTTGTTGTTAATCCAAGATATTTTTATGTTTAGCTGTACAGGATGAGAAAATACTAAGTCAATTCTAGTTTAATGAAGTTGAAAACATTTTTAAACAATTCTATTTGGTGATGAAATGGAAATGATTTATTTTGAGAAGTTTGGTACAAAGACCACTTATATTTTGCTAAAATTATTTACATTCTGGCAAGGCAAGGCATTTAATAATGGCCATGTTCTTAATTATTAACACCCTTTTCCTAAAACTATTTGCATTGCTTTATGAAACATTCTTAATTTTCCGAAAACTGAAAAGACAGTATCTTATTTTTATATAGAAACTAATGAGTATTAGAATCATTTTATTCAAATCATCTTTAATTTTTGAAACAAAGCTTTCAGCTTGATAGTTTCAGAAATAAGGAACTGTCACTGTCATTTTATGGATGAGTAAACTAAGACTCAAAGAAAAAGTTATTTCCATTCTAGAGCTTCTAGTTACTTCCATTCTAACAGAACTGGAATGGGAGGAGTGTCAACTGCTTCAGGTAATTTACATATATGACATCATGTATTATTTCAATAGCTCCTCAAGAAAATTATTTTTTTCACCATTTTTCTCCATTAAGGATTAGCGGGCTTTATTAACTTGCCCTTAGTCACATAGAGAAAATGGTTGAGCTAAGGTTATTTGCCCCCAAAGCCAATGTATTCTTGACATACTAACTTCTCTCAGTAAAATGAGGAAATCTACCTAATCTCTAAAGAACTGTCTGGACCTCCTTTCTCCCCACCTACCTCCTAGACTAATAATGAGCCTTCAACTGGAGCAATAAAACTTCCATTGCATTTTACTGCTGAAGGAAAAATGGAGAGGTAAATGCAGGAGAGAAACTAGGATTCAATATAAGACCTTCCTAAAAGTTTAAGATCAGAGCTGAGGGATCAACATAGTTGACATAAAATTTAATTATTTTGTGTCAGGAACTCTGCTAAACTATGGGGATAGGTGACCAAGCCAAATGCTCTGCCATTGAGGAGTTTACTATCTAGTACGGGAGGCTGATGATGTCTGCAAAGTATGACTAGTTTGATCTTAATTCTATCAAATCAAGATTCTCAAGAGAAGGTGATAAATAGGATCCTTCACTGGTCACAATAGGCTTTGGGAACCAAACAAACTTGAAATAATCTCAGTGGCTTAATCTCAGTAAATGTTTGTGTGTTGCTGAAACAAATTCAGAGCAGATCTATGGTTTGGAGGTAGAGGGCTCTGCTCCATACAGTCACTCAGAGATCCAGACTGCACCATAGGAATCCATGGTCTCAAAGGTTGCCAAGGAAGGGAAATATAAAGCATAGAAGATTCATACTTTCTCTTTTATGCATTGTCCTGGAAGTAACACATGTTATTCTGCATATATCCTCTGGCCGGAACAAGCCACATGAACCTACCTAATCCAAAAAGTTGGGCATCCAGTAAGCAGTAAAAGTCTTGGCTACTGATCTCAGCCAGTTTTGACAAGAGTCAGGATAGGAAGATGTAGAACATCATAATCTGGGAAATCTCTCCCCAGGTTAGCAGAATGTTGATCTGAGATAGAGCATCCAGGGGAAAACCAAACTAGAATACATCTAGGTAAAGTCTCTTCTAAAGAGCATATACTCTGTTAAATGTCAGAATCCTGGAAGGGAATGACCAAAGAAGATTAGGAATGAAATATGAAGAGCAAGGAACAGGTTCTTAAATCCCTGAGGTATAGTCCAGAAGTCATTAGTAAGGTAACTCTTTAACTAAGTTATGTTTAGAAAGTGGTTTATTAAGAGGAATGATCCAGTACAGACACTCAATTTCTAACTTTTAAGTTTATAGGTTTCTATGAATACCCAAAAGCTGTGCCTACAGTTGGCTTTCTTTATTTGGAAAAAGAGGAGGGGGGAGCCCACAGTTTTTAGATAATTAACTTTAACCTCCATTTGTCTGGAAGTTTAGAAAAGAGAAGTAAATAATCACTTCATCATGCTTTTAAACTGGTTCAGATCTGGTCCTGTGAAAGATCCCTTTGAGTATTACTAACTGGCTACCAAGATGAACAATACAAAAAAGGATATGTAAAACTAAGAACAAAAACTAAAATGGGTGAGGAAAAAAGGAGTAAAGTCTAAATAGGTAAA